CACACACACACACACACACACACACACACACACACACACACACACACACACACACACACACACACACACACACACACTCCATGTACTCATATCTTTATGGGGACTTGCCATTCATTTCATTGGGCATAACCCCAATCCCAACTATGACAATCTTAACCTCTACCCAGCCCTAACCTTAAGCACAAGTAACCAAACAAAATACAAAACTTTTGGCAGTTTTAGTTTTTTGATTACATTCACAGATTTTTATAAAACTGAGGTTATCCTTGTGGGGACTGATAATTATGTCCCCACAAGGTAATAATTACAAGAAGGCATATATACACACACACACAGTCACCCTGTGCGTCTGGCTCCAGCCCATCCTGGCCTCATCGTGCTGCAGTCCAGTAAACAGATCCGGCCAGTGCTGGTAACAGCGGCCACGGTGTTTATGGGTGGACGGCCTTCACTGGAGATCATAACTGAAACTGCACCCTGGCTCATTAATTATTACTTCGTCCAAGTGAGCGTGCTATTCTGCCCCATAGAAAGTTCACTGGACATTGACTTAATGCTTACTGGCTCTAAATATAACTGATAAGAACACACCATTACCATGACAAGACAATAATAAGGTACTTGAAATACAGAAGCTAAACAGTCATAATTGCAAAATTCTCCATTATAAAAGAATGAGCGATTCCTACAAAGCATAAGTTCCTAGCAACTTTGGAAATGTCTAGTGCCCCCAGTGGGGACAGAGGGATGCACCAGCCCAGGCCGGTTCTCCTCCATTGTGACAGACGTCTGACCCGGCTTGGGTTTCAGGCCGAATTTCACTGCCGGCGGTGCACTGCCCCCCCGTGACTCCTGCTGCCCCGGGGAGGGGGGGGATCTCCTGACACGGTTCCCGTCTAGCTGATAGCTTAATATCCGGTGATGCGCCCACAAACCGTCCGCACTGGCAATGCCGAGGGGCAAATCAGTATCAGTGCGTTAATTCATTCAGCGGGGGATCTTATCAATGTGGGGGGATAGTGGCTTAGCTGTCTGTTACAAGCAAATATACACTCACATTCATTGACTGTCAAACTTCTAAAGGGAACTAAACATGCCTTAAAACATCGGAGAAAGCATCAACTCAGAAAAAGAATAAATGAGGAATCCCTCTGTTCAGCTTATTTACACTATGTTTGACACTGCTGAGTGTATATTGCTGTAATTTGAAAATACGAGAAATACTCTACCATAAATTTACACACAAAGTAAGAGGATAGAATACAAGATGTCCTAACTACTATTAAAATAACTCATTATACTTCAGATGCAAATAATAAAGCTTTACGCCTGAAGGATTTACAACAGCAAGCTGGAATTTGAATTAATAAACTAATAGATAATGACCTTTTATCTATAATTAGTCCACTAATCTTACTTCTGGGGGGTAGGGGAGGGGGCTAGCTATGACGAGCTGAAATGGGTCAGTATTGCAAAGACTTGGTGTTGAACCGGGTATTTCCGTTGTGAAAGTAACTCAGCCTCATGATTTTTTCAGCCTTCCGGTGACCTCAGTCGACCTTCAGCCCTGGGCTTTAAAAACAAAATATATGCGACATTGCCCTGGTTAAAAATGTATGACACGACGGTAAAATAACTCCGCGGCTCACAAACACGGCCCGTGCTCCCGGGAGAGACGACGACTTGCGCTAGATCTTCCGCTGGCAGTTTTCACACATCAGAGGAAGGGGGAGGCTTTCGGTTTTACGCAGCCGGAAACCATCTCCGCAGCTCTTCGATCGCGTGTTCCCGTCCGACACTCTCAGTGACAGGACCGCATTCGGCAGTAATCAGACTTCAATTCAACCTGGTAGAGTCTCGGGGCAAGGAGGGGAGGGCTTCATGTTAATGGGGGAAACTCTAAAATGATGCATAATAAACAATAAAGACCTACATTTCAAAAAGAAGACCCAGGAGCTATATCAGTCAGCCCATGACCTATCAAACCCGCTCTTCTATCATACTGTCCGGAGATGACATTTGCTCTGATAGTCAAACTGACCTTACATCCGAAGTGTTTGCCGACAGTCCATTTGGATACAACCCCCACCCCCCCCCCGTTCTGTTCCTAGGCAACATGCCACGTCGAGGACCTGCCACAAACACAGAAGTGCGTGTAGATGAATCACATCAGCCGGGGCTGCAGATCCTGCCAGCTGTGTGCCGCTCATTTGCAACTTTAACTGAAAAACCCGTGAGCTGCTCGTTAATTAAACACCTCGACGGGAAATTTTGGGCCTGGCGGAGTGCCACGTCGGGGAAGAAACTCTCCGATTTGAGATATTTTTAAAGCCGTGTTCACAGCGAGCCTGACGGAGCACGTTACTGGCAGCACGAAGCAGGCAGGGAGGAGGCTGTGCACGAGCAAGTCCGCAGTGGGCCCCCGCAGAACCGCAGCCGTGGAAGCTGAAGCACTTTTGTTTCACTGCGGCGGTTCAGTCGCATGTCACGGCCAGGAATAGGCGCCCAGCAGCTGTGCAGCCGTCGCCTGAGTATCGAAGTGATTCTCAATGTGCTTGGGAAGCTCCCTCTGGTTCATACAGCGATGAAACTGATAACAGGCAAGTCAACAGAATAAATGCTGAAACAAGAGACGTGGAGGCCAGGAAACCACCGGGAATCCCAATGAAGACCTGGGGAGGATATGGCAGAGGAACCAGAGAGGAACCAGAGAGGAACCAGAGAGGAACATCCCCCGCGACACAGTATCCCAATGAAGACCTGGGGAGGATATGGCAGAGGAACCAGAGAGGAACCAGCAAGGCGCTGGGTTTGGGGGGAGAGGCACCTACCAGAACTTCACCTCATCCTCGCTTCCGAGTCGGTCGAGGTGTCGCACACAGTGAAACAGGTAAAGGAATCGCTCCAGGCACTGCAGGCTGACCTGGGGAGGAGGGAGAGACCATGAAGAAAGGTTACCCTGAATGGGGGGGGGGGGGGGTTTAAAAAAAAAGCATATGAAGAAAACGGTAAGACGGCAACCCTACATTGCGCCCTAAGCACCATGTTCCAGCCCAGTGGGAAACATGCGAGCCTCAACCTTTGCGAAAAACAAATGAGGAACGGAAGAGCCTCCGAACACGGCCTGAGGGAAAGCCAGCTGAGCCAATCTGGAAAGAGCAGGTTGGTGCTGCCCCTTGCAGCATCTGGACCAATCACATCGAAGCTCCACCTAACCTCTCCTTCAGTGAGGCGTTAAAAGGTTAACTTCACTAATTGAGGCCAGCTATTTTTTTTAATGCTACATATGAAAGGCCAGCCAATCAGAGGAACAAACATGTCTTAGGTTCCACCCCCTTTCTGAAACCACGCATCATCTACTGTGACCAACAATGGCTCAGGTGCCTCTATTTCACCTTACCGGAATGAAGTGGGTAACTTTCTTAAGCAGAACTGGAATCTCTCCAAGTACGACTCGAGGCACAAACGCGGGAACACTGCCTCCCATTGTGACATCAGCATCCCATCTTCCATGACTCTAACAGGAAGACCAGGCTGATTATGGCACCATTTGACCATAGCATGGGGACGGGTTCAGACATTTCGGAAACCAGGGAGTGGTGCACCATCAACCCAGTTGGAGAACTTTATTAAAAGCTAGTAACACTTCCAGACCAAACAGGATTTATCAGGGGGAAGCATGCCTCAGATAACTTCCCTGATCTTACCAATTCCAGATATAACCATTGCACTGCATGGAAAACCGCTACTCCAATTCACTTTGCATTTATATCAACTAACTAACTGTGAGGAGGCGGGGGAGGGAGGGGTTGCAAAAACAATGTGGGTGTTCAGGGCAGTATGGGGATGGGTCAGTTCCTCCCACGCCTCCAGGACACTGAGGAGCTATCAGAGGTCCAGCGATGCTCAGACCTTTCACACATCATTCACAAGCATGGAGAGGCCTCACACAATGTACATGCACACGCGTGACCGCCACATCAGCCGGTTCTGTACCCAGAGCTACGCATGCTGTGGAAAACGGTCACCTACGCATCCCTCCAGTCAGTCATGTTCAAAAGTATAACTACCATTAAAACAAGCAAATAGCCAGATTTACCAAAGTAACCACAGAACCATCCCCCACTACCGCACCTCATTTAAGTTCTCCTCACCTGTATCTGACCACCATGACCAGCCAGAAATTACAAGGTGAAAAGTAAATCAAACTTAATAACAATAATAATTATCTATGATTATGTGTTCGCTGCTTGCCAAAATCCAGGGCATGTAAAGTATGCAACAGGGTAATTCGTCTCATGGGACCTAAACGGAGATGGGCCTTCACTGGCATATCAGGACATGCTCACTGGGTCACTTGTGCCTTTGCGGCTCTGTAAGGTGTGCTGCCAGTGTTTCTCAGGCATGTCAAACAGCACAGTAGCAAATACGCACTGAGGAAGACCGAGAAAGGCGATGGGCGGTTCGGAAATAATGGCGGCCGTGCGCTCGCCGAGAGTCAGCATAGCATCCAACTGACAACACCTCACAATAACACTAATGTCAGATCCAGGTCTCAGCACGCCACGGTTACTGACACGACCAGCTCGGAAACTGCAAGGAGCATTTTTCACACAGCATGGCTCACCAGCTATGACTTGAAATGATGCCATGCTGATTAATCTGGTGAGAGTCGTCGTATCTCCCAAGTAGATCCGGGTGGGGGGGGGGGGTCTGGCAACAAACAGTGAGGAGAAGGTAGATGGGAAATCAATGGCCAGCTCATTCCAGCTAAATGTATTACATGCCCTCGACCACTAGAGGACACTGGTGGGGGCATTGTCCCTGCCAAAACGACACAGGAGAGTTTGTTTATAGTACATCATTGACTTTTATAGCAGAAGACCAACCACATTAATTTTACTCAAATGACATTCAGGACAGCCGGGGGGGGGGGGTTTGGATTGTCGGCAGTCCCCCACCCACCAAAATTCTACCTTAGGAGTATTTATTTCCTCCCCATCATTGCTTCCTGCCTTTTCTCATAACTCCTGTAATTATGCACACCACTGTTCACAACTGAGTCTATGATTCATGCTACATAAAATCGGAGTTTATTCAGTTTCATTTACGCAGGCGATTCCTATAAATATTCCACCAAAACCCAAGAAGAAATGAGAGCTGCTTTGAGCCTTTACAGTTTCCCCCCCCCCNCCCCCCCCCACCCCTCAGATCCTCAGGTCAGGTGATTCCAACGATTCGCTAAGCAGCTTCAGCCAGTTAGCAGGCAGAACGAGGGCCAAACTGTATGCTTTGGGCGCCGGTGAGATCCTCAACTCAGATTTCCCTCCACGTGGCGAGGGTGAGACTGCCAGCACCCACACTGCATGCGTGAGAGCTACAGTCTCTGGCACAGGAGTGGGCGGGACTCAAACTGGGAGGGAACGTTCAGTGGGAGATCTTAGGGAAGTGTGTCTACTGGGATTTAGACACGGGGCCGCCGCACAAGTCAAACCCGAATGGTAGAGGGGCTAAATGGTATACAATAAAAAGTGGATATTACCAAGCATATTACCGTGTAATTTGCCATACCTCATAGATTGTAGCGTTTTCAACGCTGATTGTTTTACTTACACGAAAATGTCTGGAGGGCAGAAGGAAAAATGATTGGTTCAGGGAAATAACCAATTGGGTCCAAGCAATTAGAGGACGCGGGACCAACGCCCCCCCCCCCCCTTTTTTTTTTATTATTAACGAAAGCAGTTTAGATAAAACTGTCTGAAAATATCTTGAGTGCTGTGTTGACGTTTGGGGGGGGATTACTCAGTTGGCTCCTCTGTTAGGCATTACATGGTCTTGTCAAAGGAAACCTTCGCAAGCAGCACACACACTTTTTGGAAGGTCTTCCTGTTCTGCTTTCCCACCTCGGGGTGAGAGCTCAACATAACAGCACGCGTCTTCTTCAATGGAATGACAATTAACTGTCCTTCATCCACCGCCAAGGTTTTAAACTGCTGGAGTAGAGACGTTCACAGTGATGTGAATAAATTCTCAGGACTGCGTTTCAGGACACCCCGGGTCGCCAGCGGTACGGCACACGCACGTTGGCTTGCTGCTGTATTGGCATTTGAAGTCGGATGCGATCATTTATCATTCATCGCACTCTCTGCTGCAATTTGGTAACACTTTTGCAATGACTCAGGGGGTTGTTGTTCTGGGCTGCTCTCGCTTTCCTCAGACTTGCACCAGGAAAATGACGCGGGCAAAACCAAAGTGTGCTTTAAGAAATTTTGCTGCTATATATTCAATGAGGACGATAACAAATTTAAGTAGTGTTTGCGTGGATAACCCTCCCCCCCCCAAAAAAAAACTCATCGAAAAAGAAACGAAATGACTACTGAATCAGAAATGCTATCATTCCTTGCCAACTCAAGACCCAGAATGCTTTGCACACCAGCTTCTTTTGGCACAGTAGGAGTTTCACTGAAGCAGTTAGTTCAGTGTCTCTCTCAAGGGGACATGGCCTCACGATTACAGATTTGAGCACAGCAATTTCCTGAAGCGCGTGCCACGACGCCATCCTCCAGAAAAGAGCCTCACCCACAACAAAAACAGTTTGGTGGATTAGAGGAATTACGTGGCAGGGAAAAAAAATATCAGCCTGTTGTTATTGGATGCTCAGTAGATCACTTGATCTTCGTTCCAATACCAGGATGTTGCCTTATGAATGGATGAGGCAGCACGCAGAAAGCTCACGGCAGGGCAGCCAGTCATCCGCTCCTCATGACCAGCCACGAGGCTGTGGTGTGATTTCTGGGGCGTCATGAGGTGGTCCTGGCTTTGCACAGTTCCTCTGAGGTGGGGGGGG